GTTTTCACAGACTCCTCCCCGCCTCCCCTGACATCAGCCTCTTGCTCAGAGAACCGGGCCGGGAGCATGCAGGCGCGACTGGTGGTAGAGCACCCGCCTGGAGCCTGGAGCGGAAGCACTGGGTTCCGCCTCCAGCACCACACACACAAAACCAAACATGTGGCACAAGAGATTCTGGATTTTGTTCTCCAGGCCAAAGACAGTTTTTGGTTGTCATAGCTGGGGAAAGAGAGGGACATGCTGTTGGCATTTAAGGGGCAGAGGCCCAGATGCTGCTAAACACTTTCAGTGCACAGCAGTCTCCATGACGCCCTGGCCACTCAGAACACCTACACTGCAAGGCTGAGAAACCACACCACTGAACGACCATCACATGTAAGAAATCAGCACAGGTCCAAGACCATTAGCTGCTGAGCTTCAAGCTTCCTGCTTCCTCCATTTCCCAACTTTGTGAGATAGAATCTCCCTACACAGTCCAGGCTGGTCTTGAATTCACGATCCTCCTGCCTCGGCCTCCCGAGTGCTGGGCTTGCAGGCACCCCCACCACACCGGGCAGTGCGTGTGGAGGGTAGGCACAGCACGCACCTGTCAGCATGGGGTGCCAGTGGTAGATGCTGTGACGCGCGTCGCTCATTCCATTAAGATATCTCCTGCTGCCTAACAAGCTGCCCACAGCCGAGCAGGTCGGCATTTCTTCCCTCAGTTTTCTGTGAACCTAGGCACAGTTTAGCTGCTCAGTGGTGCGGGCTGTGTCTTTATTCAGGGGCTTAACTGCAGCAGGATCTGCCTCCAAGCCAGCCCACAGGATGCAGCTGAAGAGCTGCTGGACTAAAGGCCGAGTTCCTCACAGTGTGTGACTCGGTAGAGCAAGGGCAGAAGGAAGACCAGGAGAGAAGCCGCAGCCTCTGCAACCCTGTTCTACTCACTGCAAGTGAGGCTGCAGAGGCAGGAGGATTGGGGGTGCAACTCAGTGCTAGGGCCTGCTATCATGCGTGAGGCACAGGGCTGGATACTGAAAAATGAAAAAACCTCTAACCAAACAACCAACCCTTCTGCTACCCTGTTATTTATTTTCATTTATGTAGTATGTGGTACAGGGTCTCACTATGCAGCTCGGGCTCTTAGTGATCTGTTTTTAGCCTCCCCAGCTCTGGGACTACAGCCATGAGCTACCATGTCCAGATCAGCATGGTTTGGGGGCGGGGCCGGCGCAGCACGCAGGACCCAGGATCAAACCCTGGTCCCTGAGCCATTTCGCCGGCCTTACCCTTTTATATTAGCTTTTTTTAAAAAAAGTAAATAAAATTACTAATGACAGGGCCAGATGTGGTGGTACACCCTGTAATCCCAGCACCTGGGAGGCTTAGGCAAGAAGATCAATGTTAGAGGTCAGCCCAAGATATACGAGTTCAAAGTCAGCTTGAAATACAAAGCAAGACACTTTTTTTTTTTTTTTTTTTTTTTTT